ATCCATTGTAACATATATATACATATTTTTTCATTTGTATATTCTTTAGGCAATTTATCGTAATCCTCATTATCCGTTCCTACCTTACTGATAGATACTTTAAAGTAAATCACAACAATGTATATACATCCCGTTTTTCCCAGTCTGCAGGTGTTCCTCAAGGTAGTATCCTAGGTCCTATCCTTTACACAGTTTATACAGCTGACATCCCAACCCATCCCAACACTGTCATCACCACATATGCTGATGACACATGTATCCTATCAGTCAATAACGACCCATCTATTGCATCCCAAACCCTTCAATCCCACATCACAAACCTGGAAGAATGGTGTCAGAAATGGAGAATTAAAATAAATTCCAATAAATCCCATCAAATTACCTTCACCCTTCGTCGTAAACCAATGACTTCCTGTCCTTCAGTATCCTTTAACAACACCTCACTTATTCCTGTTGAACAAATCCGTTACCTAGGACTCCATCTGGACAAACGTCTAACTTGGAATCCTCATACCAGACTGAAACGACAAGAAACAGCTCGACGTTTCCGACTACTTCAACACTTACTAGACAAACGCTCTAACCTTCCAATCAATTATAAAAGACTGATTTACATGACTATAATAAGGCCTATTTGGACTTACGGGGTTGGGCTATGGGGCTCCACCAAGCCTTCAAATTCCTCTCGCATACAGTCCTTGCAATCCAAAATCCTTCGTAAAATCCTCAATGCTCCTTACTTTGTTACAAATAAAATTATCCATAATGACCTTAATGTTCCTTATGTATCAGATTTGGCCCAATCCAGATATCTGTCCTTCCATAATAAACTTCATAACCATCCCAACCCTCTTGTCTCTAACCTTGCTTCCTATTCGATTCCTGATAACCCTCCGAGGCGTCTAAAAAGAAGATGGCCACGTGATCTTCTAATATAGATATATTATTAGAGTGCTACCAATGGGTAGTTTCTCAACATGTGTTCCATGTCTTTATACCAATGTGCAAATTTACTAGATGTATTTTTTTGTATACAGTTGTAAATATCATTTAAAATAAATAAATAAATAAAAAATAAAAATAAAATAAAGCAATCAATTTTACATATTCACTTCTTTAATCCATTAACTTCTCTAATTTTACAGTCCACAGCAATAAATTATCACCAGCTCTTAAAGCAGAATTATTATGACAATATCCCTGACAGCCTTGGAAGGGATTGGCATAGTAAATTAAATACTTCCAATGATATGATGCACTTACGTCTGAGTCTTTCAGCTTAAATGTTGCTATCCTTTCTGTTTTCATTCCCCTGATTTTTCTCACATTAGATATCCTAGCTCTGATTTTGAATACTACGAGGTAATGGTCGGTAGTATATCCATATTAGCCCCTGATTAAAACATGTTCAATCTGATTTACCGTTCTACCATCTGGAGAGCGCCATGTTCCTTTGTGAATACTCTTCCCAGGAAAGAGTGAGCTTGCAATAACCAAGTCTTTTGAGACAGCAAAGTTTAGGAGCATTCGGTCATTTTCACGAGTAATGTCATGGAGGCTATACTCTCCAATAGTCAGTCTAAATTCTTGTTCCTTACCTACTAAGCATTACTATAGACCCTTTTTTTAAAAATCATTATCACCCCAACCTCCCAACTGTGTCCAGCAACACTTAATTATAATTATAATATTATAAACATTTTTATTTTATTACATAGAAAAAGGTTGATTTTGTTTTGTCTGTCAAAATAAAAACAGTTAAATTATATTAATGTTATAATAAAAATCATGAACACCTTTGTATTCTATCTTTAATTAAGAGAAGAATAGTTGGGGTGATCAGTCAAATTAGAAGGCAAAAATAAATGATAATATTTATTTTGACATTTGCCGACATTTCGACCTGAAGTTCAGGCCTTCATCAGGGCTAAGAAAAGAACCAGATAACAAGGTATGAGAAACATAAATAGTATAGGTAAAAAAATTAAACTAAAATGCAGTTGTTAGAATAATGACAATAGTAAGAACTAAGAGATAAATAATAATAACCATTACAAAGTGTGGAATGATGAAGTAAACATAATCAAAAAAAGGTGACATTAGTATTAAAATGGGAATTTTAGAATAAAATGTAAAACAGAAAAAAAGAATATGAAGTTATATAAGAAATTAAAATAAATAGTAAAATTAAGATATTGCGAATAGAATAGTTAGATAGAAAATTGAGATATTGTAAAGTCTATAAAGATGTACAGACAACGTATAGTATAATATAATAAAGAGTTAAAACAGAGAAAAGGAATGAAAGGAAGGAGGAAACAAACTGAGAAGGCTGAGATAAGAAAGAGATAAAAGAAAACAAACCTGTCTCCAAATAGTGTTACAGAGAAGTGAGTATGGTGGTCAGGGAGGGGGGAGAGAAGAGATGTATAGTGGCGTCATCTCTAACGGTTATCTGACGAAGTTTGAACTAATGTACCGGAAGCGTAAATAAGGACAAGAGATATATTACTCATAAATATAATGGATAATTAAACAAAAGTTTAATAGAAAGAGGATGGAAAATTCTGGAGAGGCAATAAAACAAAGATAATAACTGTTGAGTAATAATGGAGAATAATTGAAATTAATACATATCATATATATACAAAAACACACACCCATACATACATACATACATACACACACATATATATACATATTCCTCATATATACATATATATAGACACACACACACACATTGAAAATAACCAAAACTGACAACCATCAACCAATAATAAAAAAGTGCAAAATAAAATGAAAGTTAATCAAAAATCCATAAAAGATTTTTTGACATCTAATGATAATATAGTTACAGAAAAAAAACATTGAAATAAAAGATAATCGTAACAAATAAATAAATGAGTCTGGAAAACAAAAAATAATAAAAAAATATTATAGGTTAAATTACATCCCTTCTTTAACACATAAAATAAAAAAAAAAAAATTTAATGAAAATAATTGCAAGATAAACACTAGTTTATATAATCAAAACAAGATAAATAAATATCTAAGTCCAATGAAAGATATGGTAAATAAAAGAAACAAAAAGACGTAGTATACAAGGTGGATTGTAATAATTTTGAAGCGGCATACATTGGTGAAACAAGACAAAATATGGTAAAAAGGATGAATCAGCATCTCAATGATATAAATAAAGTAAAACTGATAACAGCCTTAGCACATCATAGTATTACAAACAGACATAATTTCAACTTAGTAAAACCACAAATTTTATATAAAGAAACACACAGACACAGCATACAGAGAAAAATAATAGAGTCAATATTCATCATTAAACATAATAAAACAGCTATTAATTTTAAAACTGATGCGGCCAAAATATGGAGTCACTATGCTTATCTTATAAATAAATTAAAAATATAAAAATAAATATAAGAATTGGATTTTGACCTCTTGCTTAAAGTTTAATTTTCAGTATCTGACTAGATTCTCCCTAGAGGAGACTTAAATAAGATTTCCAGGTAATATATTCAACATTGAAAATAATAAAATACATATAATAATAGTAATAATTAAATAAATAATAAATTTAAAATTACTACATTTTTAGCAATAAGACAAAAATAAAACATTTTAACATGACAAGTCTTATGGAGAATTAAGATGATGCAGGATACTGGTGAGATTGGCAAAATAAAATAAAAATTAAATTATTTTTGTTTTTATTTGTATTGATAAATGCTTTATTACTTACTTACTTACTATGTAGCACTACAGCCCAGGGTGGGCCCTGGCTTCCTGAACTATAGCATGCCATTCATATCCATTGCTCGCTCGACCAGATACTGCACCAACAAAACTTTCTTTTCCTATTTGTGCATTCAAGTCACCCAAAACAATTTTCATATCATAACGTGGAGTTGCTAGAAAAGTCCTTTCAAGATCCTGATAGAAGTCGAGTTTTATCTCGTCCTCACTGTTCTCAGTTGGCGCATACACAGATATTAAGGTGACATTCCTAAATCTTCCCCTCAGTCTCATTTTGCAGATCCTTGCATTAACAGGCTCAAATGAATCCGTCTTGCTTTTCCTGCCACAATGAATCCAGTACCATTTCTTCCATTCTTGCCCTTCTCACCACTAAACATCATCATATAATCTTTCTTATCAATTCTGCTTTCTCCTTTCCATCGAATTTCTAGTAAAGCCACACGTCTATTTTAATTTTAATATCTGCTCCGCTACCTCTGCCATCTTTCCAGGCTGGAGCATCGTACGGCATTCCATGAAGCAACATTTAAATCCAAATCCGAGTTCCTTTGTCTTTTACCTTTATTTCCATCCAGCTTACTATTTTTAGGCTTCATAACGGGTTTGTTTTTTACAAGGCCCCAGGCCCAACCCCCAACCTGGACGTCACAGCATTGTCATTGGATTATGTGGTAGATAAATGCTTTATTGTTCATACATAATTGTTAATAGCGATATGTTGTAATTTCTAGTCTGAAAATGGGATATAAGTGGATCCCGAAACGTTATATGTAATAATAAAATTGAGTGAAAAAAAAATGGAAAAATAAATCACTGGAAAAAAAATATTCTTAATAAAAAATATATATATTGCTAAAAGATTTTTTTTTAAGTAAATCTTTATGTTTATGTTTATACTAATTTCTTTATGTATTAATTTTATTACTTTTTTATTTGTATTATTTCTGATGATTTTATGTATATTTTTTATTTAAAACTCTCTTTTGGAAAAAAATAATTCTGTTCCGTTGTAAGTTAATGTTGTTCTTTAAGGACTTAGTTCCAGAATAAAGTTTTTATATTTCTGTTTATTTCATATCTAAATTTTTATTGAGTCATGAGATCATGATAAATAATTAATAAATCTAATATATTATTCTATTTTATTATAAATTTAATAAAAAAGTATTTATATGCTCTTAAATATTCACTTTTACAGTTTTTAAAAATAGCTATTTATTGTTTAGATGAGGAAACTATCATAGAAGAAGACATATGTGGAAGACCCCTTGGATTTCGTTTTGATAAAAAAGGTTTACTTTATGCTGCAGATGCGTATTATGGCATTATAAAAGCAAATTTAAGCACTGGTAATAGTCATATTTCTTCATTTGTCAATTGTTTTATTTGTTTATTTTTTCATAATTAATTTTAGATTGATAATCAAAGACTATATGGGAACAGGGTAGCTCAATGGGTGAACCAGGAGGTAGGCTTTTATCCTATTCCCAGGTTTGACTCCGGCGTGGCAGTTAATTATTTATTCTGTTTTATCAGCTGTGGTTTGATCCTGGGATAGGAAGACTCTCCTTAGGCAGTTCTTGCCTCTATACAGTGAGTACTTTTAATTAATCTGTGTTGTACCTCGCTCTCCAGACTCCTCTCTCACACAAGGGTCCATATATCTTGCGCAGAATCTTCCTCTCCCAGCATTATTTCATGTTCAGCAGTCATTGTCCATGTTTTACTGCTGTAAGTTACTATAGTCTACACCACTTCCCGTGCCTTCTTTGACACACCACGGAATTTATGTACCCGTTGAAGGTCAAAATCGGTTTTCTGCAGCTAGTCTGGTACCAATTTCAGCCTTAATATTGTTACGATATGTCATTAAGGAGCCAAGGTACTTAAACTCCTTGCATACTGAGAAATTATGGGAGCTGATACTTATGGTTTCATTGTTCTGCAAGGGATGACGTCTGCTATTCTTCATGTAGGCAGTCTTCTTTTCATTTATGCACAGACCCTAGCCGCTGCTGCCACTTCAAACTACTCTAAAGCTCCTGCCAGTACTGGAAGGGATCTGACCACAATCTCCACATTGCCTACATATGCAAGATGCTTTGTGAAGTGGTTAAAGATTGTGCTTCCCGGGTTTGTCCTGATGACACGCACAGCTTTTTCCAAGCTCTTATTAATGAGCAAGATTTCCTTTGTATCTCCTTGCAAGATTCCTGCCGTTATCTGGAACTCCTCGGATAGTACCCCCTGTAGTTTCACCCAACATCTTTTAACCCTCATTATCATTCTTACCAGCCTGGTTAGTTTCCTTGAGACATCCAAGGATATCTATAGATGAGATCTCTAAGCAGTGTTGATCGATCTATTGAGTTGTAGTTCTCCAGCACTTGGCTTACTGTGAATATTGGGTGTGTTGTGGACCTTTGTTGTCTAATGCTGCATTGGTACTCCCTGACTTTTGTTTCCATGTGAGCAGTAAGTCTCCGGTTGATGGCAGAAGGCAATACTGTGAAGGACACTTTCAACTGAGAAATCCCTCTGTAGCTAGAGCAATAGAGCTTGTCACCATTCTTATATATGGGACAGATAACCACTACTTTCCAGTCCTCAAGGATTTCTTCTTCTGACCAGGTATCATATATGAGCTGTTACAACTGGTCCCAGGAGCTTTATACATCTTTATATTGCTTACAATCTCCACGATATCCTCCCAGTCCGGCGGGATGTCATCCTCATCCTGTTCTCCTGGTTGCTGGTTCAGGATCCTGTCCAGGTCATCTTCTAGTGATCCACTATCATCAATGATGACGTGATCCTTATTGAATATCTTCCTGAAATATTCTGCCCATCTGCTGGCAACTCCTTCCTTTACCCATAACTAAGTTTCCATATTTATTCTTACAATAGCTGAGGTGAGGTTTAAAGCCTTCCTTCTTGAATCTTACACCTCCAAAGTAACCCCTGGAATTATGATCTTTGAATTTATCTTGTATATTTTCCAGCTTCTTCCTTTCCCAGATTCTTTTCTTCTGCCTGCAGATCTTCTTTGTGCCCTTTCTTTTGCACGCAATTTTTCGCTTATATTTAATTTTGACTAGATGTTGGTCTGATCCACACACTGCTCTTCTACAGTTTCATACATCTTGAATATCCATGGCATGTCTCTACTGAATCAATATATGATCTATTTGATTTCTTATCCTGCCATTTGGTGATATCCATGTTCCTTTATGGATATCTTTGTAATGGAAGTGTGTGCTGCTTCTCCTCATAGCAAAATCCACTAACCTGAACCCGTTATTATTAGTTTTCTCGTTTTTGCTATTCAGCTCTATCATGGGTCTGAAGTATTCTTCTTTATCTATCTTTGCATTGAAGTCTCCTAGGATAAGTTTCACATTATGGGCGGGTGAAGCATCAAGTTGTATTTCAGCAGGGAGTGTTTTAGGTTATTATTTAGCATAAACCCTGTCCCAACTTGGTTCCGTTTATGTCCACTGTTAATAAGAAGGTAGTCCTTTAGATTAACCAGTTCGTTATCCTTCCAACAGATTTCCTGGAGTGCTCCGCTCCTATATCTATTTTATACCTTAAAAGTTCTTCCTCAAGGTTCCTACACGCTCCGATCTGGAGTAGGCTTCTCACATTCAATGTTCCTAGATTTAAGTGTTTTCTGTGTGCGCGCCTGGGTCATCCTGTTTAATCATTCTGGCTATTTCTTTATGAATTGTTTTACAGGACTGGATTGTTAGCCTAACACCTAACCCTTCTCTTCCTCTAGACGTTTTGTCTTTACTAGGACTATGGAATCATGTCTACCCCAAGCTAGTTTTGGTCGCTAGTGTCTAGGGAGCAAAATATTTTTGAGGAGGAGCAATCATCGAGTGTGGTCAGCTTATACCGTCAACGCTTGGCCTGCTCTCTCCCTTCTCAGCTTATTCAACTGTTCCTGCCCTGATGTGAATAGTTTTGCTAACTTACAGCAATTGAATTTGATAGAAATAGAATAGAGTTTTTTTTCAAACTGAAGGAATAATTTTTTTTAGATAGATTATTTCTCATAGTTCTTAGTAAATATGAATCAACAAGAAGGCCTTAACTTTTTCTTAGTTCCACTTCTTTAATTAATAAATATCTTATTAATGACAATCAGAAACTGTAAGTCATAAGTTATATGTATGATATATCTTTGAAAAGCTGAGGATAGTAGAAAAAAATATCTAGCATACAAAGTTGTAGACGGTAATAGAGGTTGATGAAAAAAATTGTAATTAATAATCCATGAAAAATAAATGAAATATCTTAATTAGATGTAAACTTTTAAAATTATCTTTAAATTTGAAAAAAAGTACATAATCCACCGAATTAAGGCAATTGCATTGTTTAAAAAACTACTTTATTAAACTCGTGTGAAAGAATTTATCCACTTAAAACCCCTACCATACCTTCGTGTGAAAGAAGAAGTGAAATATAAAAATATTTCACAAATAAGTAAAACAATATGTTTACAACTTATATACACATGCTGTAGTTTAATAACTTTATATCCGATATTATATTTAGATAATTAGGTATTTATCGTTGGTTTATTCTGAAAAATCATTATGTCAATTAGTGAATAATTTGATGATTTTTCAATCTGAGAATTTAAAGTATTAGTTACCTACAATTATTGAGACAACTTTTGACCTATTAATGCTATATTGAAAAGCTAGTAACTGTATTGTGGTAAATTTTACAATGGAAAAAAAATAAGAGTTTAAATTCATTTAAAAAGTGATAAAGATTTAATTCCTTTAATTTTTACTATGTAATACAGTTCTTACTTACCCGTATCTTAAATATATCATTGGTTTATTGCAAAAAGTCAATTATGTGATATTTCATAACTTTACATCACCTTAAACGTTCAGTTCCGTCTATGTCCTTAGCACTTTTTGCAGTAAACCAACATCATTTACATTCAAACCTCTAGAGCTCAGAGTTATTTGGTTGGAATATACTGAAGGAGTTTTGATGTTTTTATTGCATAGAGTCGATATTTGTGTTATTTTGATGGTCTTACTGAGTTTCCCACCCCATGTATTTCATTTTCTCGGTACCATCCATCCAATATCCATGACACTCATTGGAAAGCAGGAGTTGAGCAGAAAAGCTAAGATTCTTCAAATCTTCAAAGATTATTCAAATCCATGCCAGCCAGATTGTCTCTGCAGAAATGAGATTCCTACGGAAAATATTGGGAAAAACCAGGCGAGATCGAATAAGAAATGAAAGGGTGCGAGATGAACTAGGAGCTAGATCCGTCCTAGAGACGATTGAAGAAAGGCAGCGGAAGTGGTATGGGCATGTTAATAGAATGGGAGATGACCGTAAGGCCAGGTGGCTTCTAGAAGCAAGACCGGGAGGAAGGTGACCTCAAGGCAGGCCAATGCTTATGTATGCAGACTTGATAGAGAGAATTGGCACAGCGAGAGGAAGCACCATACCGAAAATGAGAAGGCTTACACAGAACAGAGACCGTTGGACAAGATGGTCAGAGGCAGCTACTCCACGCTTAGCAGCACACATGAGATAGTGAGAGAAGAGAAGAAGGTACCATCCATCTCTGGGAGGCATTCCCCTGTCCGCAACCTGGATAGGTGCCCAATGGAGGACTAGCAACCCCACACAGGCTCTTTATCAAAAAACAGTACTTCCTTACAAATTACTAAACCTAATATATTTGATGGGTTGTAATAGTAAAAGTTTTATTAGGTTTATAAGATAAAATATAACTGTATATAATATTAGATTGAGGATAAAGTAATTTTTTTTTTGTGTTTTCGAAGCGAATTAATTTATATAAATTTTAAACATTAACTAATGATATATGTGCCATTTTGATCGATGGCCTTTTGCCACTTTTCTGGTAAAACCCTAACTCTTTTACTGTTGAAGTTCTGAGATTTCTGGGCAAAAAAACTGAACCAAGTGATCTTCACAATCCTCTTTTGATGCCAGCTTTTCACCATTAAGAGAGTTATGCAGAAACCGAAACAAATGGTAGTCAGATGGGGTAAGGTTCAAGCGTTGGATACATCACAACTTCCCAGCTAAGCTCTCTCAATCTCAATAATCATTAAAGATGTGTGTGGTCTAACGTTGTTGTGATGGAAGACGCCTTTCTTATTGATAATTCTGGCCATTTTCTTAAATCGCCTTCTTCATTTGCACTAGTTATTCACTGTAGAGAGGTGAATTAATGGTTTGGAAAAGTTCGAGCAGCTCATGATAAACAATTTCTTTCAAATCCCACCAAAAACTAAGCATTATCACCTTCCTTGGCGTCAATCTGAGCTTTGCCACTGTTTGTAAAGTTTCTCCGGGCTTTGACCACGATATTTTTCATATTCTTTTTTGATCACCTGTAATTATTTGTTTAAAAAATGGCTCGTTGTTTCTTTTGAGCAGCGATTCACAAATGGAAACTCAGTCCATACGTTAATTCCATATGTTAATTCATGTGGAACTCAAGTATCGAGCTTCTTATGGTATCCAGTCTTATGTAAACGGTTCAAAACTGTTTTCTGATCGATGTTTGGTTCTATAGTGATATTGTGACATGAAATATGTCAGTTTACCTTAATTATTTGAAGAATTTCATCAACTTTTTCGTAATAGTTGAGGGTGGGGGTACAAAAAATCAATCAAATAATTACCTTAACTTTTTTATTGTAAGTATTTATTCCACACTATTAGATTGTTATATCTCTTTTAATTACTTTTTTAAACTCTTTTTAGTATATGTACCGCCGAAGCGAGTACAATCAATTTAATAAAATCACTTTCCGGTACTACTTACGGTTGCGATAGAACTTCCTTGTTGAGGTTATACAGATGTCTAATAAGGCCGATTATTGACTACGGATGCGAAGTATACGGGGATGCCTCAAAGAAAATATTAAACAAGCTAGATCCAGTACACCATTCAATGATCCGTCGAGCAACCGGAGCCTTCAGGACTAGCCCTATTAACAGTCTACTTTGGGAGGCTGATGAATGGCCGCTAGAACTACGCAGAAACTTTCTTTTGTTAAAGTTTTTAGGACGCTTAAAAGTAACTACAGACTTCTTTGACTTCTCGACGTATAAATTACCAACTCGCCTTGCCAACTATCCGCCACTAATCAATACGTACACACTTCCAAAGCTGTTCAAATCAAACGTAAACCCTTTACCTCCTTGGACAAATAGTAGAACACTTTTCGATTTTTCATTAAAAAACAAAAAAAAGTTAAATAGCCCACTAGTAGCACTAAAACAACTCTTCTTAGCTCATATAAATAACTACGAAAAGTACACATGCATTTATACCGATGGGTCGAAAAAATCAGAACATGTTGGATGTTCCGTTGTTCTACCTACGGAGACCATCCGCTACTCTCTACCCTCCATTTATTCAGTCCTATCCTCCAAACTCTTTGCCATATATTTAGCGTTAGATATAATAATCAACGAAATTAACAATGACCACATTTTAATTATTAGTGATTCCTACTCAGCTCTCAAACTAATAGAGAACTTTCAATCATGCAACAACCCCATTGTCTTCCAAATTACACAAATTATTCAAATTACAAAAAAAACGATAACATTTTTGTGGGTCCCTAGTCACATAGGAATACCAGGCAATGAACTGGCTGATAGCACCGCAAAAGAAGCATCCACCATACTTCCAGCACCAGACAATAAAATAGCGCTCTACGATTACAATAACGCAATTTTGAACCAGTGTAGAGAGGTCTGGCGATATTGTTGGGCAAAGGTTCCTATCACAAACAAAATGAAAAGAATGTTTCATGACATGAATCCACTTCCAGAGATTCAAGGAAACCGACGGGAGCAGACTATCATCACACGCCTCAGAATAGGGCACACCAGGCTCACGCATGGGCACCTACTCGACGGAAGTTCGCCACCAAGATGTCGCAGCTGTGATACAGCTTTAACAATGTTTCACATCTTGGAAAATTGTCCGAGCTTAGATTCATCAAGGACCTGTTAGGATATCGACAAGCCATACAACCTGGAAATCAGAAACACCTAATCCAATTTTTGAAAAAACACAATTACTACAGACATATTTAAACAATATCATCCTCATAAACGAATTCACAACGTAAATTAGAAATAACCTATTCTGTTGTAACAACACGTTCTTTAAACAAAAATACTAACAACATACACATCCAAAATTTTACATACATAAGACATATTGAAATGTAAATCAACAATCAAGATGGTGCCTCTAACCTATAAAGTTGCACACGGCACCTAAAATATAACCAAATAAATAATAAACTCTTTTTATAAAATAAACACATGGAAATAAATTCATTTTACATTCAAAATAAGGTGAAAAAAATTGCACTTATTAATGCTGTAGTGCTGATGTCTATATATCATTGTATGATGTATCCCATCTAATTTTATAGTGAATTTTGCTATTTTTCTTGATTTAATTGATCCCAACTTATTCAATATTTTCATTTTTCATAAATTTAAGTCGATTTTACACCAATGTTTTATTTATTATATAGTATCACACATAATCAATCCCTCCGTTAATGACATAGGGGTAACCCGAAATGAATACTGATATTTTTACTTTTTCTTAGCTAAAGAAAAAAGGGTAATGACTATGAGTATGAAGACAAGACTGATTTAAGACTTGAAAATGGCCTAAACATCAAAAATTATATTATAAAATAAATAAAACATAGGTGGAAAATGGTTTTACATTTATGAAAAATGAAAACCTTATGACACCAAAAATAGGTAAAATGAACAGAATTATTCGATATTCATGAATTATTAGAGTTAATGAGAAACATATTAGTTTAAATTAAACAGTGTACAGACGCAAGTAAATTTTACATGTTTGTGAAAGTTTGAATATGGAGTAGGTCACAGGCGGATCTATGGGGGGGAGGGGGCTTTAGGGCTGAAGCCCTCCCAAAACGGTAAAATATAACCATGTTTTATAGGAAAAAATATTAAAAACTATCTCTTAAAGTGTTATTGCTCGTGGAATTACATTTAATAGGACTTGAAGAATCACTTAAACACCATTTTATGTAGGTAGTTAATTTCTTTCTTTCTTTTTTTCAAATTAATTATCATTATATATTTCAAAAAAAAAAAATCTTTCAGGCTGAAGCCCTCCCCCCCAAAATTAAATCCTGGATCCGCTAGTGGAGTAGGTGATGGAACAGGAGTTTTTTGAAGGATTTTGTGGACGAGGATTAGGACAGTATAATGTTTAAACCTATGGACATTACACTGCTTCAGTTTTCACAGAAATTATACACGGTGGGCCAGACCCCCTTACCGTGCACCCCCCTCCCCACATCCCTATAAATTGCATATCGTTGTGTTCATTGTAACTATTTATTAAAAAAAAGCCAATGTTCCCAGAAAAAAAAGTGAACGCACTGCCCCAAAATGGCGTCCATAGATGGCGGATTGACGACTTTAACTTTAGTTAGTTTTTTGGTCACTGAGAATCATCATTTGGCTTAATTTCCTCATATTTGGTCTTTTATTAAAGCTGAATAGTCATAGAATAATAAAACATGAAGAAATATTAAAAAATAATTGGCTTAGGCTATGAAAAACACCAGTAAAGTCAATTTTTTTAACAAAAAAATTTTCAAGTTACAAATCAAGCGTCGTTTGTAATTAAACGGCCTACAATAACGCAAAACGTGCTGAAATAAAACATCTGGAGAATATATTTCTCTTTCTAAAACGCTGATTATTTTTTAAAAATGTTTAAGCAGTTCCGTAGAAAATGCACTTATGCGGCAGAAAAGCGGTACTGGCGTGGGTGCCTACAGGCCTCTACCACACCATTCAGTACACATAAATGGCTTAGTTATAGTGATATAATAACATTTTTGGTATATTATATTGGTTTTATTAACGAACAAATATTAATGCAATAATTTAAATGTAAAAAAAAAAATTAAAATTAAAAAAAAAATGTATTATTTTTTTTTAAATTTAACCTCCTTTATTCTATACGTAGGTCGTTTAAGAAGACCTCAATTGTAAAAATGATATAATTGTAATAATAAAACTTAATTAAAAAATACTTTGCTAAATATCTTGATTTTTTTTTTATTTAACGTTTGCAATTTAACACTTTGTTTTGTATATTTACTGATTCTTTGAGGTAATTAAAATTTTTATATACTTCCCAGGAAATGAGTCATATTCAGGGGGTCAATTGCAGTTGGGATGATATTAAATGGACGATGTAGGTTTATTATGGTGAAAATCATTTTATTTTCGATTTCTGAATGTGCACATCGGGACTATCTTCACTTTGAAGCAGGATATAGAGAGGTATATTGAGAAAGTTATAGCTCATAGCTCTCCTTCTGTTTAGTGCATTTGCAAAAGATTTTATAAGGAATTTAAAAGGAAAACAAGCTTTTCTGAAAGACAATTAGATATTAGCAAAAGATTGGGTTTTATCCTCTCAAGAAAAGCATCAAAATTATCTGACTAAAGTTGGCTGTAAGGGGAAAGGTATCTTTAAAACTAGAGAAATATGAATGTGAAAGATTACTTTTCTTGGATACCTTATCACTTTGTAGGGGATACCTTTTTACTTAATGGAAAGTGAGGACCTTAGAAGAATGTCCCAAACCTAATATAGTTAAGCCCCTTATGTAATTTTTGAAAATGGTTGTATTTCTATAGATTTTGCCTCCCTAGTGCTGCAGAAGTGAAGATCCCGGCTTTTCATCATATTAGCTCTGATTAACTTTTATGAATAAATTTTTGAATCTATCTGGTGCATATAAGGCTTAGAAAATCATAAATGGATGCTCTCTCTCTCTCTCTCTCTTGACAATTTAAAAAATCAGCTTTTTGTGAAGGATCTAGAAAAATCTTGCCAAACTACAAGGTTCTGACGAAGAAGTGAAGAAAGTCCATAAAACCTGAGTTTTAAATGCCTTAAACTTCTATGACCAATGGTTCTTATTCATTGTGTAACATCAACCTCTTAAGCACGTATCTGTGTACCTCAAATGTTTAAAAATCATTTATTTGAAACCCTCCTTGCTCTATGTCATTCTAGTTCTGGGAAGTTTAATCTAAAGAAGTAAATTAAGCAATTAAGAAAATATCTGTTTATGTTGTAATAATTTTTAGAATTCATTAAGAAACAGTATTCTATGTTTTTCTCTCTCTTTAGGGGAAGTAGAAACAATTGTTTCAAAAAAGTTAGCTATCGATGGTTTTAATCCAATGATACCAAATTCTATGGCACTTTCTAAAAGGACTGGTGATTTATTTTGGACAGATTCCTCAACTACTCATTTACTGAAAGATGGACTTTACACTTTTCTTGGAGATGGAAATGGAAGGTATATGTTTTTCAAATATTGTTTTCTTATCAATAATGTCTGATAATATCTGCTTTTTGTTATTATCATCTGGATTACTATTTCTCATTTCAATTTTGTTTCCTTTAATTGTAAGTGCTTACGGTAAATATAAATTTTCATTCAATTTTGTTTATCCTCACCTTTGATTTTATTTTTATTATTATATTTTTTTATCAAACTTTTTAGCTTCAAAATGTTTTATATGACTTTTTAAATCAAAAATCATATTGTTTATAGTGTCTATACTGTATACATATATATTTCAGAAGAAGTTACTCAGGGGTGCGTTCAAAACATACTATATTATATAATAGTATATTTATTATATTGTCCAATGTTTCGACCTATGTTGTAGGTCTTCCTCAGGGCTATATAAGATACAAAAATACATATTAGTTATTTGGTTTTATGTAATTAATATTTAATTAATTATAGAAAGTTACAGTATATGTAGATGCCTATTGACATTCAGTTCAATTGGGAAAAGATAATGGATTACTATGGTAACTGGAGTATATTAAGGGGATTAGGTAGTAGGTATATAAAGAATAATAATAATAAGAGTCAAAAACACAACATTCAATCAGGCATTGTTGAAGACTGTGTGGCGAATAGTTGTCTGGTGTCGGGTCAGGTAACAGAAAACTGACAGGTAGTAAGGGACTAGGGGGTGAAAGTAGTGTTTGTCTGTTGCCAAAAAAGTGTAAATGGGCAAGATAAGAAAAGGCTATTATACCTAAAGTTATTGAAGTGGTATTTCATGCGTTGGTCTGTATAATGGGTTAAATAATTAAATACATCTTAAGAAGGTGGGTATTAACTAGTATTTGTAAATGTGGGTTAAGGTGTAGGGAATTGGAAATCTATATAAGGAGTTGTCTTTATATTGTAAACATATATATATTCAATTTTCGTAAAGAACATAGCATCAGGAAATGAGAAAGGAAATATGAAGGAAGCGAGAAACGACCATTGATAAATTATTGTTGTTATAATAGGTTAAGGATTTGAGAATAGCGAGAGAAAGGTTTTGTTTGTCGCTTTTTTTATTGACTGCTTGGTTTTCTAATTGAATAAATACGCTCTCTATGATGAGTCTTTTGTCGTGGTTGGGAACTGTGGCTAATATGGATGTATTGTCAAATTCAAATGTGCGATTGGAGAATAAGGCATGTTTGGAAAGTTTAGAGGCAGTAGGGTTTTTGGACGAAATGGAATATTTATGTTGGGTGATGCGGTCTTTAAGAAGGTTTTTGGTTTCTCCAATGTAAGAAGAGTTACCATTGTGGATGGAACAGGGGATGCGGTAAATGATATTTGATCGGTGTTGAAGAGGGATTGGGTCTTTTAAGCAGGTGTAGATGTTGGATAATTTGTTGTGGTTTTTAAAGGCAATCCAAAGGTTAGGCAGGGAAGAACACAAAGACTTTTTAATTTGGTCAGCAAGGGAAGGTAGAGATCTATATAGTGGGATTAAGGGTGGATTTTGAGAACACCGAAGGGTGGTGGAGGAGCTAGTTTTCAAGTTATTAACAAGTCTTTTTATGGTGTTGGAGAGGTGAGGAATTATTAGAAAGTAGAATCTGTTAGATGTGTCTTGTGTTTTTTTCATGCAGGGAAGGATCAGACAGTGAAAAACATCGGTATTTAAGATTTTTAGCTACATATTCATATTCTTGAATATGAAAATAACAATACCAGCCATTCCTCGACCTCCTCATAAATTTGTTTTTTTTATATTTGGGTATATGTTATGCAGTATGTTAGGCATGGAAGACCATAAAAACTTTTTAATTTGGTCTGAACGGGAGGAAATATAAGGTAGAGATCTATACAGCGGGATTAAGGGTGAATTTTGAGAACTCAAAAGGGAGGTGGAGGAGCGAGTTTTGTAGTCATTAATAAGTTTTTTTTTTTCTTCCCGCTGATAGGCGTGTTGGAAATAATAGTTAAGAAGTCTGCCTGAGTATCTCAGTTTTGTGTACCAATCTGTGGATAAAGTATTGTGGTTTTTTTATTTTTTTTATTTATGAGGAGCCACCTGAAAGAAGGAAGCGTGGAAGGTCAAAGAAGAAATGGATAGAGGACGTGGAGGAAAACATGGCAGCCAGAGGGCTTCGTGAAGGAGATTGGATGGACAGGGAGCAGTGGCTTTTGGGTGTTGGGGATATGACTCCTTAAGTTGTATAAAACCCAAATATAAAAAAAACAAATTTATGAGGAGGTCGAGGAACGGCTGGTATTGTTATTTTCATGTTCAAGAATATGAATATGTAGCTAAAAATCTTAAATACCGATGTTTTTCACTGTCTGATCCTTCCCTGCATGAAAAAAACACAAGACACATCTAACAGATTCTACTTTCTAATAATTCCTCCCCTCTCCAACACCATAAAAAGACTTGTTAATAACTTGAAAACTAGCTCCTCCACCACCCTTCGGTGTTCTCAAAATCCACCCTTAATCCCACTATATAGATCTCTACCTTCCCTTGCTGACCAAATTAAAAAGTCTTTGTGTTCTTCCCTGCCTAACCTTTGGGTTGCCTTTAAAAACCACAACAAATTATCCAACATCTACACCTGCTTTAAAAAAGATGCAATCCCTCTTCAACACCAACTACGCCCCCAATTTTAACTCCTCTTACATTAGAGAAACCAAAAACTATACTGCCTCTAAACTTTTCAAACATGTCCTATCCTCCAACCACGACAAAAGATTCATCACAGAGAGTGTATTTATTAAATTAGAAAACCAAGCAGTCAATAAAAAAACTGAAAAACAAAACCTGTCCCTCGCCTATTCTCAAATCCTTAACCTATTAAAATAATGATTTATCAATGGCCATTTCCCACTTCCTTCCTCATTTCCTCATACTATATTCTTTAGAAAATTGAAAATATATATATGTGTGTGTGTATGTGTGTATTTACAATATATAGACAACTCCTTATCATTCACCTTCCCTGCACCTTAGCCCACATTTACAAATACTTGTTAATACCCACCTTCTTTAAATGTATTTAATTATTTAACCCATCATACATTCCAACACACGAAATTACTGCTCAATAACTTTAGGTGTAATAACCTTTTCTTATCTTGCCCATTTACACTTTTTCGGCAATAGGCAAACACTACTTTCACCCCCTAATCCCTTACTACCTGTCAGTTTTCTGTTACCTGACCCGACACTAGACAACTAGTCACCATATAACCTTCAAAAATGCCTGATGGTATGGTATGTTTTTGACTCTTATTACTACCTATTCCCCTTAATATTCCAGTTATCCTAATAATGGTCGAGTAAATGAAAAAGTTTAAGGTGGTTATATTGGGAATGGCTGAAGTGAAAAAGAAAGGAAGTGTAGAGTTGGAGCTGGATGAGGCATATGTCCTGATATATGCGGGTGTGCCAAAGGGAGTTAGTGCTAAATAAGGAGTAGGGAAAGCAATGTATTCTGCAGTATATAGTAGAGTTGAAGAATGGGAATATTAAGTTAATAGAAAAGATTTTTAGATAACCAAGATTTATTGAACAATTAAACATTAACTGACCAAAAACTAATATGAAAAACACAACATATGATAATTGTTGTAACCTGTTAGAAGAACTGATAAAATACAAACTGTTATAAACCCAACAACTTTCCCCTCCTTATTCATTTACAGGCTCCATTTTCAATATTTTTTTGAAACTGTGAAGCTGATCCAAATGCCATTTGCCTCGAATTCAATCTTGTAATGCAGCTTCCCCATTTTCTTCACAATTCCGGTTTAGCGAGTCCCAGTATGATTTCAGGTTTCGCCCAATGAACAATATGACCGGTGGTAACCCTGTTACTGAGTGTGGAGTTCGACGATAGACAAAGAGAAGTTCAGAGAGCGCTTTAATCATTGCTCGTTTGTTAACAGATTTATTCTAAGCCGGTTCTTTATTATTTGAACATTTCTCTCGGCAGTCGTATTAGTAGCATGTTGGAAGGATGCTGAAAATAAATGCTTGATGTTTTGATCTCTGCAAAAGATTAGAAAATTCATCACTTGTAAATTGGGACCTTTTATCTGAAATTGAAATTTGAGGTTAACCAAAGGTAGAAAAAATCTGGTTAACATGTCTATTGTGACCTTTGAAGTTATAGTTTTTACTGGATATACTTCCACCCACTTAATACAGGCATCTACTATAATCCAGAAGTACATACCTTTTATAGGCCCCATGTAGTCAATATGAGTTCTATCCATGGGTGCTTCTGGGTACTCCCACTTATGTAGAGGTGTGACCTTGTTCACTAATTTTGAAACCACAGTAGCTTATTACACTTTTAAAGAATTCACTCTTCTCCTTACTCAGCCAAATGTTGAATCCGTCCAGGCGCAGAAGTATTTGTTCGAAAATGTTTTTCCTCGGTTTTTTAACCAACCTCAATGTCATCATAAAATATTCCTATAACTTTTATTCCCTTAAAGACTTCCTCAATAGTTCTTTTTTAGACATCCGGAACATTAGCCTAGCCGAATGGCAACCTGTTTTATTGGAAGAGCCCCTTGTGAGTATTAATGGTGGTATATTTTCAGTCATCAGGGTGAACCTCTAGCTGGTTGTATGCCTGAGTACTGTCAATTTCGGAATAGGATTTGTTGTTCCCTTGATCAATAAGGAAATGATCTATATTAGGAAAGAAGTTTTCATTAGCAAAAATTATACCTGTTTACTGTGACTTTGTGATACCCACAGTCGTATTGAGCCATCCTTTTTTAAGATGTAAACAATGGGTGCTGCATAATCAGACCTATCGACCCTGGTTATGATACCTTAGCTGACCAGATGCTATAACTCTTGAATGATTTTCGATCGTATTGCAAAAGCTACTTTGATCTGGTCTGGCTCTTTTAAAAATCGGCTAAGCATTTTCTCTTAAAACTATCCTTGTTTACAAATCATTTATTTTCCCAACCCTAGGTTCGAAAACTTAAGAGTATTTTTCACATAACTCTATTGCTTTTGTCTTTCATCATGACCAACACAATCAATTACACCTTCATTCCATCTAAATAACTTTCCAATTTAACTTAAATAACTGTTTAACATTTAACACTTTAATTGGGTTGTTCATGAATGATCTGAGCTTCAGATTAGTTCGAAACAATTTCATGTCTGGAAATTGCTTAAAAAATTGCTCTCATTCATTACCGATACCGATGCAGCCATATCTATTTGAAATACCTCCGTTATGTTATCGATTCAAGCTGTAACTGAGATTCATTTTCTTAAATTTTGCTGAATCTGCCAAATGCCAAAGAAATCTTTCCTTTCAATTTTGGCGATTGTTTCAGAATTTATTTACCATGAATTATCGTTCTTAGTGTCATCATTGTCAGATTCACTATCGGTTATGTGTTTAATAGACCCTTTACAAGCAGGAGCAATGTGATCCTTTTTTTTTTTAATTTAAAGCATACTGCTCCTTTAAAGTGTCATGACTCAGGCATATGCTCCTATCTAAGACAACGATAACGAGTTTAGCCCTTGGGAAAACGATTATTTTTAATAAGGTATATGAAAATCTCTCTCCCAAAAATTCCTTTTTATTTATTTATGATGTTTCGGGATTTTTTTATCCTATCTTCAGAACGTAATAGGAAACATTATATATATATATATATATATATATATATATATATATATATATATATATATATATTTAAACATTGCATATATTATTTTTAATTCATCACATTACTATTCAGCTAATCTTACCTATTTTATTATCTTTCTATCATCTCATATATCTATAGACTTGTCATTTGTCATATTAAAAAAAAAAAAACTAAAAAATGCAATAGCTTCTATTTATTATTGTTATATGTATAATTTTATTACTTAAGTTTTAAAATAAAATATTAATTCACCTTAATTTCGGAGTGGAATCTTCTCTTAGGGATAGCCTAGTCAGCATTGATTTGTTTGAGAATTAGGAGTTAAATTCCAAGAGTTCTACTAATTCATATATTTAATCTGTTAACTATATATATATGTAATCAGTGTTGGGCAATTACTTGAGTAAATGTCCAGCGGTGACATCATGAGTGGTCACTCTTAGAAGCTTCGCCATGAGTAAATTTAAAAATTACTCATGAAACATTTTTCCTTCATGAGTAAATCACTCGTGAAAAATGTTATCTCCATGAGTAAATCACTCATGAAATATTTTAACACCATGAGTATTTAAAAAAAAAAAGTTTTTATTTTATATAATCTAATTTTTTTTGTCACCTTTTGGATTTAATTGATATCAGAGTCAACTATTATGTTTTGGGGGGGTGCTTTTTATAAAAATGAAGTCAAATTTGAGATTGGGCCCCCCAGGCCCCAACTTTTTTTAACTTTTCTGATTAAATCAATATCATAGTGGACTATTATGTTTTGGGGCTCACTTTTTATGGAAATGATTTCCAATACGAGATTGGGCTCTCCGGGCCCAAACTTTTCGGATTAAATCGATATCAGGGTCGACTATTATGTTTTAGAGGATGCTTTTTATGAAAATGCTGTTGCTTTTGAGATGAGGCTCCCGGGCGTCGACTTTTTTAACTTTTCAGATTTAATCGATATCAGTGTTGACTTTTATGTTTTGGGGGCGCTTTTTATGGAAGTGATTTCCAATACGAGATTGGGCCCCAACTTTTTTTAACTTTTCGGATTAAATCGATATCAGGGTCGACTATTATGTTTTAGAGGATACTTTTTATGAAAATGCTGTCGCTTTTGAGATTAGGCCCCCCGGGCCTCGACTTTTTGTAACTATTCGGATTAAATCAATATCAGAGTCGACTATTATGTTTTAGTGGGCGCTGTTTATGAAAATGATGTTGACTTTGAGATTGGGTCTCCCGGGTGTCGACTTTCTGTAACTTTTTAGATTTAATTGATATCAGGGTCGACTATTATGTTTTAGGGAGTGTTTTTTGTGAAAATGCTGTCGCTTTTGAAATTAGGCCCCCTGGGCGTCGACCTTTTCTAACTTTTTGAATTAAATCGATATCTGAGTTTTATGAGTAATTTTCAAATTTACTCATGGCGAAGCGCCTAAGAGTGATCACTCATGACGTCACTGCTGGATATTTACTCAATTAATTGCCCAACACTGAGTACGTATATATATAGTTTACAGTTAAAATGTTTCATGAGTGATTTACTCATGGAGATAACATTTTTCACGAGTGATTTACTCATGAAAGAAAAAATTTTCATGAGTAATTTTCAAATTTACTCATGGCGAAGCTTCTAAGAGTGATAACTCGTGACTTCACCGCTGGACAGTTACTCGAGTAATTTCCCAACACTGTACATAATGGCTTCCTATTTTCAGTGAATCTCTTTTAAAATTTATTACTTTTTCTATGTATTTTGTAATAAAAATTGATTCCACTATTTTTCTCTGTGCACTATTTGATTCTTTAAATAATATTTTAGGTTCTATTAGGTTAAATGTGTGTCTATTTTTAATGGTGCTGTGGCCTATGACAGTTTTATTATCCAATTTAATATTATTTGAATCCTTGAGGTGCTGATCCATTTTTTTGAAATATTTTGTCTGGATTCTCCAATGTTCTCATGTTGTTTAAAATTCAATTGGATTATAATTTAAAACGATTTTGGTTATATTGGATATTCAAATTAAAGTTTTAAGAAACAAATTACAATTGCTTACATTAGAAAATAATGTACATTTAATGGCTTTATTAATTTTATTTTATTATTATTATTATTATTTGTTAGTTTATTTTTTTAATGGAAGATATCTATTTTCAGGCTCTTGAAGTACAATGCTGCCTCAAAAAATAATGAAGTTCTATTAAAAAATCTCCACTTTCCTAATGGTGTTGCGTTATCTGTAGATGAATCATTTCTTATTGTTGCTGAAACCTTTGCTAGCAGATTACTGAAGTATGATTTTAATGTTTTTTAGTTTAATCACCTAATCATTATGTTCTTGTATAATTTATCAACTTAAATTGTTTCTCATCAAAATTTAAAAGGTGTTATTTATTCAAAAGTGCACACGATGATCCATTCCATGGAATTATTTATAAAAATATGCTCTACTTTGAATACATAAATAAATCTGAGCAATTTAAAATTGGGAAGGATTCTATAAATAATTTTTAGATTATTAATTGGGCTCGGATCTGAGGATCCAAATTTTCCAAAGAATAGATCCTAAAATTCAATTTTTAGATCTAAAAAAGATCTTTTACCACTTATTAAAAACAGTATATAATATACAATAGTTTTGAAGAGTTTAAATATTGTTAAACATGAAAAACATACATGAACATGTTCAAACTGACTAAGAGTATTAACCCATTGTTAGCTCCCTCTTAGTTTATGACAAACTTCGAATGAAGCATAACTATTTAATTGTGATTTAATAAAAGAAGAAAAAAAAAAAGAATGAAAGTGGAGTGTATCTTCAAACATTTATTTTGGAACATTTACGAAATCTAATATTGAAAACATAAAAACAAAATGAATCAATTTTACACTTGTTAGATAGGTAAAAAAAATAACAAACTTCTAGCATAAAATAAAGACCAGCTGAACAAACAATTGTGACAAAATTAATGAAATATTTTCATGCTTGATCATAAATAAAAACTATTTCTATGGCCCAAATTACAATAAAAAAATAAAATAAAATAAAACAACTTCTCTAAAGTCCCAATATGAAATTTATATATAAATAAATATATATATATATATATATATATATATATATATATATATATATATATATATATATATAACAAATAATTAGATTGTACAACGTTACATGGACAAAGCAGGACGTTCGTAAACCTCTGTCTCTATGCAGAAACCAATTGTAACTCTTCAATGAGCGTGCTCAAAACGAACTGCAAATGGGCAGCGGCGAGCACAATGAGAGAAGTACGTTTCTTCACAGTAGAACTGCAGTGGGCAGTGAAGTTGGCAGTACTCAGCTCAGTGACGGACGGAGTCAGACTGTCTATTGTCAATTCTACCGCCTTATGACTTGAACCTAGCATTTGTTTATAGCTAGTGCTACTAAAATCCATAACAAAGTAATCCAAGTATAAACTATTGAATTATTTAATATAAACAATATAAGCTATGGGCCTATAATACTTAATATACACGTATCTTATACATAAATATACATATTATTAATTGATTTCACTTTGCTAAAATAAAACTAATCAACAATTAATCAAACTAGTTAAGTGTAAAATAAATTGAATTAACGCTGTGGCGTTTTTAACTGTAAAAATAAAATAAATTAACGCTATGGCGTTAACACCCATAATATATACAAATTTTACAATTTTAAGAATTAACAATACTTAATAACAAAAAGTTGTGTTAATTAATAACAAAAAACTGTTCCTAAAACCGTGCTGATTCCATCGATAGGTTACGAAAATTGATTGAATCCAGCAGCAATGGACAGTGTTTTGGGGACGACCTGATGGGTTCCAGCATAAGGTTAACTCTCCTGGATATACAAAAATTTTATATATATATATATATATATATATATATATATATATATATATATATAAAGAAATACCAACCTACTGCTGTAGGACATTATCAGGATGGATTTTAGGCCAAAGATGATATCTAATGACATCATACTTTTTAGTTTGTGCTGGTGGTGCAGTCTTGTAACAGGTGCATGAACTATGGAGTGAAATGTCTTCTTCAGACCCATAAGTAATGTTGAACTTTACAGTAGGGCCGTTATAGCTTTGTTTCCCCCAGTTTGCAGAAATAAATGGATCTTTTTTTTTTTTTTGAATAAAATTTTTCTTACTTTTAATTGAGCATCAATACTCCAAGCCAGGCAGTACGCTGATAGACCCAACAGTAGCAAATCCAAACCACCTGAAGGACATCAAGCTACAGAGGGCCGCAGTACCCCGATCCTGGAGTCCGAGAATAATACTGATACCAACAATAACAGTCTACATTAAAATTGCTGAAGTAATGAATTAAAACAATCTTACATTTATTTTATACTAACGTCAAATGCTAAAATTTAAAATAGATTACAATAGAATAAAGTATAAGGAGCCAGTCTTTACATATAAAATTACAATAATGAATCAAATTAATATGGTTCTTTCCAATGTCTATTGCTGCAATTAAAATTTATATATATACATATATATACATCATATATATATATATATATATATATATATATATATATATATATATATATATATATATGATTTTGACAAGGTGAAAGTCCTAGATAATGAACATGATCAACAAAAAAGATTGATTCTCGAAATGATGTTCATTGGAATGACCAAGAATACAATAAACACTCGTAATGATTTAGCCAAGTTAAATTATGCCTATAATCATATATCGGAGTCAATATAGATTGGTAAGAGAGTTGAGTATGTTTATGTGAGGGTATGTATGTGTTTATGTATACATATATATATATATGATTATAGGCGTAATTTAACTTGGCTAAATCATTACGAGTGTTTATTGTATTCTTGGTCATTCCAATGAACATCATTTCGAGAATCAATCTTTTTTGTTGATCATGTTCATTATCTAGGACTTTCACCTTGTCAAAATCATATATATATATATATATATATATATATATATATATATATATATATATATATATATTTATATATGTATATGTATATATATAAATTTTAATGGTAGCAATAGACATTGGACAGAATCATATTAATTTGATTCATTATTGTAATTTTATATGTAAGGACTGGCTCCTTATACTTTATTCTATTGTAATCTATTTTAAATTTTAGCATTTGACATTAGTATAAAATAAATGTAAGATTGTTTTAATTCATTACTTCAGCAATTTTAATGTTTTAATTTGGCAATTTTAATTATAACCTGACAGAGATTATTATTTAGTGTTATTGTTGGTATCAGTATTATTCTCGGACTCCAGGATCGGGGTATGCGCTGTGGCCCTCAGTAGCTTGATGTCCTTCTGGCGGTACTGTTGGGTCTATCAGCGTGCTGCCCAGCTTGGATTATGGATGCCCAATCAAAAGCAAGAAAAATTTGGTTTTATTGTTAAAATGTATGATTGTTTTACCAATTGTTTTTTTATTGTTTTACCAATGATAGGTATTGTTTTTTCAGAATTGAAGAGGATTTTTTATGTTAAAAAACAGGGATCAAAACGTTTTTGAGTAAATGGAATAAACAGAAGTTGTTTTAAGTCATCTAAGTGTATTTCATGACCTATTATCAGACTATAATTCATATATAAAGGTCAAATTATTAAAAAAAAAAAAAATTGTAATATTATATATATATATATATATATATATATATATATATATATATATATATATATATATTTTTGTAACTTTCCAGGAGAGTTAACCTCCTGCTGGAACCCACCAGGTAGTCTCCAAATCACTGTCCTTCGCTGCATAGAAAATTGAAAAACCATATTCATTTTGTGTGAGATATTAAAAAAAAAATGTTATTCAATATTGCAAAAAACGATCCATTTTAGTTCAAAATTGCAAAATATATCAAAAAAGATCCTATAGAATTTTTTATTATAAATCTAATATCCAAGATCAGCATAGATCTGTTGAAAACTCAGTTTTACCTTGAACAGAAAAAAAAAAGAACAACCTTCAAATCCGAGCCCTAGTTAAAAATTTCTTGATAATTTCAAAAAACAATGCTACAAATGAATTCATCTTACACAGAATGAATTAACTATTCAACTTGAGATACCTGTATTGCAAAACTTAAATTAATCCATTTAACACTAATAAGTAGGTGAGGGTCGGGCGGCTACAATATTACCTTATTCTATTGTATATTATTTCATTTAAATATTTTGGCTTTAAAAATCTTTAAAAGTAACATTATTTATGATAACCTTTTAACAAAATACCATTTTTCAGGTACATTTCATAGTAAAGAAGGGGAAAAATATGTTTATTTGATTAATGTCATTAATCAATATTTCCTCGCGAATTTCATCAAGACTGTAGAAGTATAAGGTAAAAGGATTGTTTAGAAGAGCATTCTGTTGCTTATCTAGGAATTCCACAGCTCAAAACAATTTTAAGTTTAAATAGATAAAAGCTAAGAAACATGTAGTCAAAGAATTATTCATGTGAAGAGTTTCTGCTTTATATTATAATGGACTGTAATAAAAATAAAACTTCTCAAATAGTAGTTCACTTTATTGATAAGATATAAATACAATTATCTTTTTATATAAAACTGAAAGCAGGTCCTCTTCTATTCACCAAATACTAAAAACTAACTAGAATAAACAGAATTACAGAAATAGTTCTATAACTTGCTTACAGCTATTTCATAATTAGATTTGATTAGCAGATTCTCTGAAGACTCCTTTTTATCTAATTAAATTTTTATTTCCGCTTGAACAAACTTCCACAAAAGCTAAATATCTTGGCTCATCATCACTCACTCAAATGAGATTCAATCTGAATTTCTCTGTCCAAAACCTCCTGTCATAAGGCTACTAAAGAATAATGTTTTTAAATAAGATTTAACATCATCAAATATTTCTATTAAAATGTTGTTCATCTCTAGGACCTGTCTTGTTTTAAGCCTGTAGATAACTCCTTCTACACCCAGTATATCTGATTTTTCATCTCTTGTGAGCTTAGGTCCTCACTGTGGTTCATGTCTTCTTCGTTCTAGGGTTCCCTTTGATTGAGAAGCAGCTGGACCAGTATTGGTCCGTTGTTAGGCCCTCTGAGTCCAATGGGTTGAGTTTTTCTTTTACTCAAGGTAGAATTAGATTTCTACTTTAGGAGTTTTCAAATTACAAACTATGAAACTGTGACATAGTTTGATTAAAAAATAATTACTAACAATTATTTTAAAAAATTTTATTAATA